TTAAAACAAAATTTTAAAAAAGGGCTGGGAATGTAGTTCAGTGGTAGAGCACTTGCCTAGGATGCATGAGGCCCTGGTTTAATCCCCAGTACTGCAAAAACAACAACAAAAGATCAAATCATTGCCAAGATTGATGTTTTGGTCAATCTACTATTAAACTGCCTATTTGAAAATGGCACTGGAATAAAATTTTAAAATGTATACATTGTTTACAATGTTGTCAAAAACAGAATCTTTTAGAAGTTAATAATAAAGAAATGGACAAAGCTTTATCAGGCTAAAATCAAATATCTATTTGGCTAAAATCAAAAGAAACCAAATGAAACCAAAGCAATCCTACCACCCACCCCCCCTAAAAAAGAAAAAGAAACAAAACAGACATGGCTGTATTAATATAAGACAAAATTAAAAGCTAAAATCACTAAAAGTTACCAAACAAGACGCTTCCCATTGGTAAAAGTTACAATCCAAAAGGTTTGTAAGCATCTATCACCATGCCCTGGAAATACATAAATCCAAAACCCAAGTGGGAAATGTTAATAAACTTTCAGAAACTGATAAACCAAAAATAAGTAAAATACTAGATATGTGAAAAACCAATTAGCAGGCTTGGATAAATGTGCACCCAATAATCAAGTGAACAAATATTCTGTTAATTCATTAGAAGCTCTAAATAGGATAAGAAGTGGACACTATAGACTACTCATAGTAGTAAAAAGAGTAAAAGCAAAAAACAAACAAACAAACAAAAAACAAACAACAACAAAACAAAACCAGGAGAACAGAAAATGTAACTTAAGGCATGCAGCAAAGTTTAAGAAGATAATACTGTGCATAATTTTCCAACAATGATTTTTTTTCTTGATCTACATGGCATAGACTTTTCAGAAAAAAAAAATTGTGAATTTTGAAATTCAGCACAACAGCTAAATACACTAATTGAGGAAAACCTGTCCCTACAATGCAAAAAGTATAGGAGAATTTGAATAAAATTTTTGATGGACAGATAATTGGGATTTTTATAAACCATAAAAAAGAAAGAGAAAAAAGGTAATCTTCCAAATTACTTATTTTAGGCCAGCATAAATCTAAGATTAAAATTTAGCAAAAATAGTGATAAAACAGAAATATAAAAGATCACATGTAATTTTAAATTCCCAAGTTCAATAGCAGCAAAGCAAATATACCAGTCCATTGAAGGAATAACATTATGACAAGTAGAGTTTATTCCAGTAAAGTGATTCAATATTCAAAAAGATGATGACATTAATGGCATAATTTACCATATTAATGAGCTAATATATCATCATCTATGTAGATGGAGGAAGTAACATTTTACAAAATTCAACATGCACACTGAAAACCTTAGGATAAGCTAGGGATAAGCCCTATCTATAGTAAACGTTATGTATAATGGTAAGATGTGCAAAATGTACTGACTATAGTCAGGAATAATAAAATAATGTTTATAATCATCACTGCTACTGCACAGGGGGAAAAAACAAGCATTAATCTTAGAAACATGAAAAAAACTGTCATTAATTGCAGTCATAATTATCTGTCAGGAATATCCAAGAGAATCATCAAAAAACTATTAGAACTAACACGAGAGAAAAGTAAGACAGAAACAAGAAGAATAAAAGTTGATAAATCTCCAAGAGAGCAATAAAAGAATCATTAGAAAAACGGCTATGAAAAAGTAGAGCTGCTCATAAAAGCAATGAAAATTATCAAACAATAGTACAATAAAATGAGATGTTTAGTCAAACTCTGATCTGAAAAGTGAAAGATGAGAGTATTGGATGGGATAATAAATGAAGTTGTTAACTCCTCACAACTCCATAAAATGTCAAATACAATTTGTCATCGCACTTCACTACATGTTTTTAAAACTTATACACAAGAAAAAATATGGAGAAAGATAAAGTTTTGACTGAAGAGAACAACATTTTGGGAGTAGTTTATCAGACTGATATTCCAGTGTCACCAAACTAGAGTTGTGCAAGAATTAAAATATCGGACTGGGGCTGTTGAGCGCTTGCCTTGCATAAAGATATTGTGTCCATCTACAACTAAAAAAAATATTGAAAAAAAAAAGAATTAAAATGTCAACGGAACAGAAGAAAAGATCCAGAAACAAGTATGTGTTTATATGGCAATTTTGTACATGATCAAGTTTGCAAGTCAGATGATAAGGTTAAGGTTGAAGATTAAAAAGCTGTTTTGGGAAAATAGGACTTCTATGTAGAATTTGTTTTTAGAAGTTCAATTTTGACATCATACTAAATAATTTCTATGTGAATTAAACTGCTAAATGTAGTTTGGAGGTAGAAAAGCCATCTCAAGAGTGTTGAGTTGGAGGGAGACGCATACAAAGGCACACACCTGTAATCTCAGCAAGCTGGGAGGCTGAGACAGGAGAATTTAAAGTTTGAGGCCAGCCTAAGCAACTGAGCAAGACCCTAAGCCACTTACCAACATCCTGTCTCAAAATAAAAAACAGAAAAGAGCTGGAGATGTAGCTCAGTAGTAAAGCATCCCTGGATACAATCCCCAGTAACAGGAAAAAAAAAAAATACAGTGGAAGAGTAAGAGTAAATGACAAATAAATAAACAAATAAAAGTAAATAAAAATTTCTATAAGACAAAACACCATAGATAAAATTATAAGAATTACAAGATGAGTAAAAGACCAGGAAAATAATACGTATAAAGAGCTCTTACTAATTAATAAGAAAAAGGCAAACAGCTCACTAGGAAAATGAAAACAAATTTAAAGAAATACAAATGGCTAATAAATATACAAAAAAAAAAAAAAAAACACTAGTCAGGAAAAAGTCTAATATTGACTTTGGTTAATCTTTTTTGTTCATAATGTCAAAACTTTTAAACATCTGTAATGCACAGGACTGCTGAGGATGAGGTCAACAGAATTTTGTAGATAGTGCTGGTAGTTTAAGTTGGTGTAGGCTTTTAATGAGAGAAATTTGGCAGTCTTATTAAAACTTAAAGTGCACATACTTTTACTGGAAAATGACCCATTTCAAAGGGATTTTAGCGGTGTCTATACGCATGTTTTTTCTTGGTCATACTGCAAAAACTATCCAAGTCAACAAGAATGGCCTATGAATACATGTTTCTGGATGGGCTCCATAAACCACTCATAAATATAGTTTTCAAGGTTTTATTACATTACACAGTTACAGTCATTTTACAGAGTACTTGAAACTAGTACTGTGGCCTGACTCAAAGGCTAACTTCCAAAGAGAAAAAGAATAAGGCCTGGGCTAGATTGTCTTACACTTTGTGGTTACTATTTTGGGCTGTGTAAAATCCTTTTGCCAGAGGAGGAAGTTGCTGACTTTTTAGAAAGCTTCATCTTTTAGCTAAAAGGCACTTTGAAGTAATGTTAAAACATTTATAATTTCAGCCATATTTAATTAACTTCTCTCTACTTTAATCCTACAATTCCGTCTCCAAGCATCTAATTTAGAGAAGTACTCCCATGCAGAAACTTGCACAAGAATGTTGACTGTGGCATTGTTTTTAATATCGAGAAAGCTGGAAACAACAAATTAACTAGGAAATGATTCAATAACACCATTATGTCCATACTATGGAATACTATGTGACGGTTAAAAGGATGAGTAGAGGTACATTTATACAAATATGGGAAAATTTCCAAATACACTTAGTGAAATAAGCAAGTTACATAAAAATACAGAATATACAATCCCATCTTCATGAAACAAAGCAAAATAAAATCCTAATGGAAATAATAGTATAAAAATTGTTTCTTAACAAGAATCAGAAATTATAACCAGCTAGACAGAAGTTCCCCCTGGAGCAGGGTGTGGGCTTCCATTTTTTATTGATTTCTTCTTCTTTTTTTCCTTTAAAATGTTTTTATGAAGGAAATATAGTCGAGTACTACATCTACAAAAATGGGAAGTCTGGAAAATTAAGGCTTACTGAGCATGTATATATGAATGTTTACCTTTAATGCTTAAAATTTACAATTGTGTCCTAGATATGGTCTTTTTAACAATGTTGTTTTATCTAAATGATATAAATATTAAATGTTTGAGTTTTCAGTTTTCTTTTAGATGTATACTACCAGAGTGGGGCACAGTCTAAGAACCAATTTGAAAAAGACTATTCCAATTATCAAATTTAGTAAGTTTTCATTATGAAAATTCCCACCGGCAAGCTCTGGCATTTAATGATTAGGAAAGTTAACAAGAAGTATTACCCACAGAATGAATCAATAGAAAAGTAAAATTCACTGTCTAATATACAGTGACCTTTATGTTAAGCAAAAAAAAAAAATGGAGTTCATTAGTGGAGGTATCTTGTTTTCCAAAGTGTACGGTATAAGAATATATGCTGAGATAATGACTTTGAAGCAAATAGAAAAATACAGTGACAATTTCTTTTAGGTCTCTTAAAATTGACTTGTGAATCATAGTAAGATACATAACTTTTTTTTTTTATAAAATTTTGTGAAGTTTATGAAAGCATGTTTCCCTTTCTTGGTCCCATTAGGACATATCAGGTATATCAACCTAAAGCTAAAGGATAAGTCAACAGACACGTCAGTCAAACCTAAGTGTGGTTTCCTAAGGACATGAAACAGTGGCTTTGATGAATCATATGACAGTTCCCTAGGGGAAAAAGGCCTGTTAGAATCAGCATAACCATGAGCAGGAGCAAAAAGAAAACAAGAATTTTACCAAAGTTCACTGACGTAAAAGGATGTGACTTTTAGTAGGCTCTGTTTCTGAGTCACTTGATGTTTTTCTTCTATGACGGATGAGGAGCTCCAAAATGATGCTCTCTGTGGCACATGCGCGCGGTGGCCGTGCCACCCATTTTGGTGGTGAATGGTGCAAGAACCGATACGTACTTTTGTACTGTTGTTCTCAGTGGAACGCCAGTACTTGGGATTTTTACAACATTCAAAGTAGCTCAAGTAGAAAAGAAAAAGTTCAAACCAGTCACCAGATCCAAAATTAGCATTTTATTCAGAACGCTGGGGGTCAGAGGTGTATCATTTATATTCTGGTACACAATACAGAGGCAAAGCTGTTGTCAGAAGTCTCTCCAGTTTTAAAAGCTTTTTTTGTGTTTTCATTTTTTTTTTTTAAAAACACACCCTTAGTAGTGCTACCAGTGTCAGGCCACCCCTTTCTTTTCTTTTTCTTTCCTTTTTTTTAATTTTTTTGGTACAAATTATGTAAAACATTTGTGCTAAGAACTTTGCTCCCTCCCCAAAACAAAAAAAGAAAATAAAAAATAAAAAAAAAAATTAAAAAATTAAAAATTGAGTATTCTAACTACAGCTCAACAATTGAATCAAATGTCACTTTGTTTGTAAATACTTTATCCATAACGAAAGATATAAACATGCAAAAAACCTGAATTCATTGTCCAAATAATACATACACATGTTCTGAAGTTTCTGCACTTCTCCATAGACTATGCCAATAAAACATTATGTACACATACCATTTTTTTACAGTGAAGTGGAAAAAATACAGTAAATAAAAAAAGTGTACATGGATTAAGACCAAAATGTGTCTAACATTCTAGTTTATGAAAAAATTCAATTTTGCTACAAATTGGTGATATGAAAACTCCCTTTATTTGCAACCAGCTGCGTAAGTTTTTAAGATTTTAGTGAAAAAAAAATTCTAAAGTCTAAAACTAGAAGTAATGTACATTTTCCAATCTCATGGTCTCATCCCCCAAGATAATAAAATCGATCGCTCCATGAGTTCGGTTTTTTTTTTTGTTTGTTTAATTCTGTATTTTAACAAAAGCAAATGCAATGTAACAAAAGCGTGTTGAAGCATATCATGGTTGAACTTACTGCTCCCACCACAAAATATTTTGTCTTTTACTTATCGTTTCAGAAATCAGTACCATTAAAGCCTTAAACATAAAACTAATTCCAATCTGAAAAAGGTACAAAAAGGCACATAAAATCCCAGTGCTTCTGTACTGTAAAATTCAAGTGTAACTGAGCTCAGTGTTTTTCCAAACAGTATTGGATCACTGATATTCCCTCTGAGCCCAAATTGGTTTGCAGCCTATGCCAAAAGCCTCCAGCAAGCACTGTGCTAGTAGACTACAAAGTTAAAGCCTAGCTTCTGTATGCTTTTTGGGAATATCAGTTGAAATTGTTTGTACTTGTCCAAAAACCAAGTTCACCCTGAAGTTCAGTCATCACCTCCACCATACATGTCAGCGAGTTTCTTGAATCGTGGTCCCCAGTCGTTCAGGTAATCATAGTCCTGCTCTCCACCACTACTTGAGGAATTAAGGGAGCTCAAGGACCCGGCAGTGGAGCCACTACCTTCGTAGTCAAAGACTAAGAGGGAGTCATATGGCGGAGCTGTGGGATCATTGTCAGCAGCTTTAAGGCCCTACAATGTGGAAAGAGAAAGGAAGAAAGAGTTAAGAGAGGGTTACAATTTGCAAAACCATAAGCAGATGCCAAGGACTTCATGGTATTGAACACTTGGTAAATTCCCATTTGTAAGATTACATTTTCAACGCACAGAAACTGGCATTCTCAGTGTTTTGGAAGTCATACGAAAAGTAACTTGCTTCTTTCCTTTGCAAGCAAACAATCCTAAGGAGTGTAGGCTAGCATGCAAGACATAAAGTGGGAGGGAGTTAATTGGAGAACATGTTTGACAGACAGCAGAAATGAGGGCCAACTGCTTGAAGCAGATTAGAGGATCTTAAATAACACAATATATGGAACAGGACTGATAGACTGTAAAACAATCTCATTGAAATATAAGGTAAACTATATCATGGTAATTACTATAAACGGAATTCTCTGATTCAATAAACATAGAAAAATTACCCTTGCTAGCTAGGATAACTGGTGTGACTGTGTAATAGTCTACTTGGCAAGACCAGTTTTGAATGAGTAATTTAGTGGTAGAACAGGTTGTGTGAAGTTATATGAAATAATACAGAAAGGTTTTGAAACCATGTGATCCATGAACCCTAATCAGAATGAGGGTTAGGGGATTTTGAGAATTAACCATTTGAACAAGAAGCATATGTAGGGCAAGGAGAAAGATACACGTGTTAGTGCCAAGTGGTCCCCGATCCTCTAGCAGCTTGCAATCTAAGCAACAGGCATTTCTATAATATGAAAGGAATGATAAATAAATAATAAAACTGTGAATTCTAAACAAAAATCATCAGGATTCTGAAAAATTACTTTGTCTACCTTGAGGAGCTAAGCATTCAAAGTGGAGGTAGCTTTGCATTTATTTGACCCAAGTTTGAAAAGATAAAGAAAGAAGGAAAGTGACTCATTAAATCAGTTGTGTTATTAATGAAACATAAAATGTGGAATTAATTGATAAATTATGAACAGGTATTTTTTTTTAAATGGAGTAACTTCTACTTTTCCAAAGTCCCTAGAAAAATCATGATACAATACTGTACATGATATAAATATTGGGGAGTGCAGAATCTTGTAAATCTAAATAACATGCCCATTCTAAATCTTAAAAACAATTTAAGTAATAAAAAATAATAGAATAATTATCATTTATATTCTTAACTCTTGCAGATTCTTTTAAATATGTAATTTAAATATCTGCAGCTAATTTGTAATTCTGTACTACAAAACCTTTAAGGACTTAATACTAGGTCCATTTGGAATTTTCTGTAATATTTTCTCAACTGCATTTTAGTACGCCAAGATATACCAATATTGGTCTTCAAGCAATTGTTCTCTTTTTACAATGCTGCTTTTCAAATGCTGTGGGCTTATGGCGACCTTACTTATCATCCAAGATGTACAGGCTGTCTCCTTGAGAGATCAAGCCTTCCAATCCATATGTATTTTGTGAGCATACATATGCGGTTTTTCTATGAACATTTGTTCATTTAGTCTTTCAAGTTCACGGAGGAGGAATAAGGAAAAAGAGCACAAAAATTAAGGTCAGAGTCAGTGCCATCTAGTGTTGAAGAGATCAGATCTTAGATGACACCCCAGCTCTCCACAGTATTAGCTGTGGGAATTCAGCATTTCCTCATCTGCAACTGTAATAACAATCAGATTATATAAGACTAAATGAGATAAAGAGACTCAATGGCTCATCCTAGTTATCTGGCACTTGTAAAGCTCAAGGAGTATTGGCTATTATTATTATTATTATTAATGTTTTAAGTTTAAAGGAAACTTTTCTGCTTTGGAATTTGAAAAAAATAAAAAAAATGTGAAGACATAATATTTTAATAAATAAAATGCTGCTAGACTTCAATAAAAAATGTGAGTGAAAAGTACCCAGTATCAGCTTTCCCATCTCCAAGGATCTCTTACCATCAATCCTAACCATTAAATTAGGCACCACTCCCCCTCATTTATAACTCAGAAAAAGCTGTATTAAATAAAATAAAGCAAGTCTTAAGCAAATGACTTCCACACAGAAAACCAATAAGTTTAGATAGGATTTTCCTTATCTTATTTTTAGAATAAGCTACAAAGCAATTCTGCTAAGACCAAGAACCACTACAACCTACAATTTCCCAGAATTCATATAACTCCTTTCTGTGGTTGATGGTGTTACTGTCCTTAGTGATTCACCACCCTTGTTTCCATGGAGAGCACAAGCCCACACTGCCACAAGTTCCTTTCTGGAGTCAGAATTTACTTACTCCACCCCTCTGTCAGGCTCAGCTGGCTATGGGAGTGGCTTTGGCCAAAGAAATGTGAATAGCAGTGAGGAGCAGGAGCACATTTGGAGCTCTAATATCTTTCCACTTCTCTGTTTCCCTTCCTCAAGGAGAATGCCCTGCCTCAGATGGGGGTTATACTTCCCCATGGACTTTGCAATGAAGAAGACACATGATACTGATAGACTGCAGTTGACTTACAACCTGAGGAAGAAGTCAACCTTTGTTTCTGTAAGCCAATGAAACTTGGCATTATTAGTTACTGTAGACATAGCTGACAAAAAACCAAGGAATGCACCTTCATTCATTTTATTAGTTTATTAATTCAATTCATGGCATATTGGTTGAGTGTCTATGACTCTATAATGTGTGGAAACACAGCCTTTAATAAGCTAGATCCATTGCCTGACCTCTTAGAATTTACAGTCACACATTAGTATGTACCCATTTCCCATTTTTCCAAAAAAAAATCTAGTAATTACAAATATAAGCAATAAGTGATTCCTTTAGTTTAGCACTGTCTAACATGGTCCTACCACACAAGAACTGGACCTAAGAAGAATCTGACAGAAAATCAAGAAAAATCAGGGAAATTCCTGATAAGGAGAATGGATACCTGAAAACAAACATTAAAATTTATCATGACAACTGCTTTATAACACAGACAGTGAGACACTGGCAAAGGTCCCTGTGTTCAGGTTATTGACTTCATCACAATTTGATTTTTAAGTGAAAATACTCACAGAGCACTGCCCAAACCTTATAGTGTCAGCACCAAACTGGAAAAATGGAAAGGTTAAGATGAAAATTAGCTCTAAATAGTCAATGGCAGGGCCTCAAGTGTGTTTGGATTCAGACACGGGAAGTAATGACCATTGTTTACCGTGTCCAGGAAGAGACACTAGAAGCTGTGTGATCTTTACTGGAGTGTTAAAGAACCCCAGGACTCAACTATCTAAGCCACCTCATTCAAGTCCTTAAAATAGATTCTAATGCTGGAGATAATCTCCTATAAGAATCTGTTGGGATTCTTAAAAATATTCTTTTTATTTGATCATTTCTTTTTTCTATTCCTGCATTAGTTTCTGGATTATCCTGGTAGTTTTTGCATTTGTTTTCTTTTAGGAAAACAAAACAAAATGAAAGAAGAGGTTAAGGTTAAGGCCATAAAAATCCATTAGCGAGAGATCACTGTGCCATGTGAGTGCATGGTACACTGTCTTAGGGCTTAATGATGATAGAAGGGCAAAGCCACTGAACTTTTCAAGAATTCTTAGGCAAACCATCTTTCTAGGCAGGAGAGGTTAAGTACTTTAAGTTCCTTCCACTTGGATGGCACTGATTTTTATCTGAGAATTTAATATGACCCTTCTGAATGAGGTACTGCATAAATTCTTGGTAATATTTTGGTAATTCTAAAAAGATCACAGTCAGGCCCTCAGAAACTGACAGTAACAGGCATGCAATCAGACAGAATGTGTAGAAAAAATCTGGGGACAACAGAACCTTCTGGTTCTCCCTTATGTGATTGCTTTATTTTTGATGTGGACACCTTCAAGAATGATGTACAAAGTACTTTTCACATGATGTATAAGTACTGTTACCAAATTTATAAACTAACAGCATGTGCTTCTCTAGGTTTGACTAAATTTAGCAAAGTATGTTCACTTCACCTTTCTTGGAGAGGCAGATCTAAAACTCTAGATAAATTTATCTGAATAAATTTTCTGTAGTTTGAGCTCCTCTGCAAAGTGAAAGAGCTACAGTTGAATTCTTGCTGAGCTTATATTTATAGACTTCTGATCCTATGCTTTATGGGTGGGGACATGCTTTTATGGGTACTATAAAAACCCACATTCTTTAGTGAAGAACACACAAGGGATACAAGAAGAAAGAGGCCTATTGATACCCTAACATTCTGTCTTCTACAGTCTTAGTGCCATTGCTTTGGCTTAGGTTCTCATTATATCCTGCCTGGACCAGAACCTTCCAACCGGTCTTGCTATCTCCAGTGCTCTTTCTGCTTCTTTCCTAAAAACTAGCTTTGGTTTCTCTCTCAACTATTGATGTCACTTCCCCAGGCAAAACCCTCCGAGTGCTTTCTATGACCTATAGCAGAGTTTCCCCCATAACCCAAGTATTTCCCCCAGGGCTAGGTGGAGATGTTCTTTTAATTGTGCCTGAATGCTATAGAGCAATTCCCTATAATAAAGAATATTACATTTTATTGTAAGTTTAAGTAAATAGGAGAAAAGATACAGAGTTGAAAAAAAAAACTGGGAAGTGTTTCTCAAATGCCTGCCTTTTGGGGAGACCTGCAAGATTAAAAAAAGCAAAATCCTTTAAGAGCATCCAGGAACTCTAGAGGGTTCATCTACTTGTTTCAGTCATCATCAACCCCAGCAACCACAAATGAATTATGCACCATTCCTCAAACCCCAGTGTCATGTTCTTGTGTACTACTGTGTTATTTGCATATTAATTGTCTCCCAACTGAAATGTGGTTGAATTTGTTTGAAATGTTTCCTTTCATTTTTTTTTCTTCTGATGAACATCCATTATCTATCTATCCACCCAAAAGCTCAATAAAAATGTCACTTCTAGCCAGGCACAATGGTGTACACCTATAATCCCAGTGGCTCAGGAGGCTGAGGCAGGAGGATCAAGAGTTCAAAGACAGTCTCAGCAAAAGCAAGGCACTAAGCAACTCGGTGAGACC